GTAACATTTTCACTAAAATTTATTTTATTTTAATTTTTATTTGAAGTATTGAAGTACCCTACTTGGATATGCACACATTATTCGCCAATACATCACACGTCCTAGACACTTGGGAAGTGTCCGACGTGTGATCCAATACAACAACCAACATGATCTTCTTTGCTGTGTACTAATCCTGTTGTGTTTCAAATAGTAGTAGCAGCAGCAGAAGCAGCAGTAGTAGTAGCAATAATAATAATAATAATAATAATAATAATAATAATAATAATTTTATTTTTCACCCACCTCTTCTGGTGGCTCGAGGTGGGTCGCAGCACAGTCAAAACTCACATGCACTATAAACACACATATTAAAGTGTAGTTCTATAAAATGTATGAAAATGTGTTTCTATAAAATACATATTAAAAACACTGGACACCAGATTAAAATTCATGCCCATTGGAAGAGATGGGTTTTAAATTCTGTCAGAATACATAACCCACCAGTGGGCTGTGGAAATATCAAATCCATCCCACATTCCCAACTATCATGAGTTGGGAGAGATCTCTAACCTCTCAAACTGCTCTGCAACGTGTTTGCACTTATCAGGTTTATGGGTTTCCTTGAAAACTCCTTGTAGCTAACTCAGTCTGATTCCATCTCATGTGATTTCTTATTCTTGCAAACACTGTTTCCCTTTGTTATGTATAAACAGGAATAATATTTTATTCTACTTAAGAATTATGAATATACATGCATCCAAACTGATACCCACACGTGCATAAGAATCAGATTCCTACTTCCAGCTGCACGTTCACTGAACTCTATCATTGAATATTCCTCTAAACTTAACTTTGCTGTAAGAATCAAAAGGGGTGACTTCTGACTGCCGGATAACAGTTTATTCTGAGCTCATATCCTCTCATAATATTGAATGTGTCGAGTGCAATCTGTCTCTTTTCTTTGTAATTATTTGCATGATGGGACATGAGGTGAAATTTAAATTTATTTTGAAAGGCAAATACTCATTTACCACCTACAGGGCTTGGAAAAGGCAAAAGGAATTAGAAAGACAAAGGCAACAATCTTGAATAAATATGGGCAGCTATGTTTGATTTTTTTAAAAAACAATCTAAATAGTTAATGACTTAATTAGCCAAGGAAATAATACATTACCTATAGTATTCATCTATCATTTATGCATGTTTATTCATCTTAGATAAACATCAAATCAAGGTGTTTAATTCCAATGTGGGAGTTACACTCATGTCAGAATGACTTATGAATATTCCCCCTCTCTTGGGTGCATCTACACTGTAGAATTAGTGCAGTTGGACGCAACTTTAAATGCCATACCTCAAAGTTATGGAATTCTGATATTTGCAGTTTGTTGAGGCAGCAACACTATTTGTCAGAGAAGGCTAAAGACCTTGTAAAATCACAATTTCCATGACTCTATATCATTGATTGAGCCATGACATTCAAAGTGGTGTCAAACTGCATTAATTCTATAGTGTAGATGCACCCATGATATGCATAGCTTTCCCCCCAACTATTTCATCTTCATAAGAACCCAGTGAGGTAAGTTAGGCTGAGTAGTATAGGCTTGCCCAACGTTATCCAACAAGCTTCATGCTGAGTACTAATTGAAACCTGGGATCTGATTTTACATTGCTACTTATACTACCCCACCTTGATGCATTTCAACAGTGCTGTTGGATCATACCCCCATCATCCCCAGCCATGTTGTGGTGGATGGATTGATGGGCATTGTAGCCTTATATCTGGAGAATCCGGAATTAGAATGGATCAACTTCAGTTAATTCACTGGAGAGTTTATTTTAAAAAGATCTCCGAATATCTTCCAAGTTTTCCCAGTGGTTATGGTGATGGATTCTGGGATTTGTCATCCAAAGCTCCAGAAGCTGCAGTGACCTTTAGACTTTATCTTTCTCTGGAAAGCTGCTCTCACCATTATATTTCGGTATATGGCTGGACATTGTTGTGTGCATTCAAGCTGTTTCCGATTTATGGTGATCCTAAGACAGTTCTGCAGAACCTGTGGCCCTCCAGGTGTTTTGAAGCTCCCAGAACCTCTGACCATTGGGCAAGCTGGCAAGAGCTTCTAGAAGTTGGGAGTCCCAAACACCTGAAAGGCCACAGGTTGTGCAGACCTGCCCTAAGGTGATCCTATCATGGGGTTTTCTGGGGCCAATAGTGTATGATTTGTCAAAAGTCATCCAGTGGTGTCCAGAGCTGAAATCCAATACTCAAACCACAAATAAGACTTGTATACTCACACACACACACACAAAAAAAAACATTATTAGTCCAGTTGGTCTAAACATACCAGTTTTGATCATTTGCAGCACACAGTTATCATGGAGTTTGGGAATCCCAAATGTCACCTTTGGCCGCTCGCCTGCATACAGCCAAACACACACTAAAGACCAACCAATATTTGAATGCAGCACATTTCAGAGGTCAGTGTCTTAATTGGGTGTGTGTACTCGGCAAGCTCTTAGTGGGATGGGCATCCCAAGCCACCTTGTCTCTCTCCTGAGGAGTCTGTACAAGGACCAAGTAGCAACAGTAAGAACTGACTACGGAACAACAGACTGGTTCAAGATTGGGAAAGGCGTACGGCAAGGCTGCATCCTCTCACCCAACCTTTTTAACTTGTATGCAGAACACATCATGCGATGTGCGGGGCTGGATGAATGCAAAGCTGGGGTGAAAATTGCTGGAAGAAACATTAACAACCTCAGATATGCAGATGACACCACTCTGATTGCCGAAAGCGAGGAGGAGCTGAGGAGCCTTCTAATCAAGGTGAAAGAAGAAAGCGCAAAAGCCGGGTTGCAGCTAAACGTCAAAAAAACCAAGATTATGGCAACAAGAATGATTGACAACTGGAAAATAGAGGGAGAAACTGTGGAGGCCGTGACAGACTTTGTATTTCTAGGTGCAAAGATTACTGCAGATGCAGACTGTGGCCAGGAAATCAGAAGACGCTTACTTCTTGGGAGGAGAGCAATGTCCAGTCTCGATAAAATAGTAAAGAGGAGAGACATCAGACTGGCAACAAAGATCCGCCTAGTCAAAGCCATGGTATTCCCTGTAGTAACCTACGGATGTGAGAGCTGGACCTTAGGGAAGGCTGAGCGAAGGAAGATCGATGCTTTTGAGCTGTGGTGTTGGAGGAAAGTGCTGAGAGTGCCTTGACTGCGAGAAGATCCAACCAGTCCATCCTCCAGGAAATAAAGCCCGACTGCTCACTGGAAGGAAAACTAGAGACAAAGTTGAAGTACTTTGGCCACATCATGAGGAGACCGCAAAGCCTAGAGAAGACAATTATGCTGGGGAAAGTGGAAGGCAAAAGGAAGAGGGGCCGACCAAGGGCAAGATGGATGGATGGCATCCTTGAAGTGACTGGACTGACCTTGAGGGAGCTGGGGGTGGTAACGGCCGACAGGGAGCTCTGGCGTGGGCTGGTCCATGAGATCACGAAGAGTCGGAGACGACTGAACGAATGAACAACAACAACTCGGTTTTGAGTGTTGCTTTTCTCAGAACCCACATGTAAGAGTTCCTCATGCTTGGGCGCTCTTTATGCACAGCATGCACTACTGAAAACAATCTCTCTCAGCTGCTTGTGGCAAGTGTCATATGAGATCGCCTGTAAAGGATAGGCTAATCTCATTAGTGTGCACAAGAGAGAGAAGGAAACTGCTGAGATACCACATAAGATAGTCTTATCAGCTTCGTTGCTTTAAAATGATTAAAAAGTGGGAGGGGCATAAACTGATTTATAGGCTCACGAAGCCTGTTGCCTCCACAATAATGCAAAAAAGACATAGAAAGTCAAGTCTAAAAGTTACACTGTTTCATAGAGAAGGATTACCAGGCCTGCACAACCTACGATCCTCCAGATGTTTTGGACTACAGCTCTCAAAATTCCTGACCATTGGACAAGTTAACTAGGGCCCCTGGGAGTTGGAAGGCCAAGCAGTAGGTTGTACTAGGTTATCTGGTATTTCAGGGATAAGAAACATGACCCCTTGATATTGCTGAACTGAAGTTCCCATGATCTCTTGTTATCGGTTATGATAGTGTTGATGGGATTTACAGTATATTCTTCAGGTTCCCTCCAAATCTACTAGACCACAGCTTCCACTGTCATCATCAAACAGGGGCTGATGGGAGTTGTAATCTACAAGCACTAGAGGGCATCAGGTTGGGGAAAGATGCTCCTGAAGCCCTGTTGCAAACCTGGATTAAGGTTCTGTCAAGTTGCCATAGAGACCAGTAACGATATCTGTTCAGTTGCCAGTAAAAAACACAGCAGGCAAAGTTCAACAGACAATATCCCTGACTATAGATTGCATAGGTCATCGCCAAATTGGATCTTCTTTATGTGAGTGTGTATTTGTGATGTCTCTTAATGAAAAACATCCAACAGTTTGTACATAATGTGGGTCCTGTGATCCTGGGCCCCTCCTGACACACTAAACCACTGGACAACTCCACACCTTTGGCTAAAACAACCCAATTTTGTTGAAGAAACACCCACTGGGTCCAGATTTCTAGTCCTTTCACGACAGATATAGCCTTAGAAAGAACTGCAAATGATGAAAAAACACCAAAATAGCTGGCTTGGATGTGTAGTGTGGGTTTTTTCCTGTCTCAGCAAGGTAAAAATTGTCTTCCAAGACCCAGAATATGCTGTTTCACAACATAAACTACCATCTACCCAACCTCCCAGTATAAGGGAAACCTGCCTACTTGCATTTTTGATGCTGATTCTTCTGTCTCTGAAATTACTTTTCCATTAACTATACTGGGAAATGGATTCCATCTTCTTTCACATAGTAATTTTATGAACAGAAGTAATGGGGAAGAAGTAATGGTAACAGATACCCAGCAGTTCCTTCCACTTAAAATAGATTAAAGGTCTGGATTTGAGAACCAAACCCTTCCAAGACAATTGAATAAAAAAACTGGTAAACCAACAACATACCCGCAAAGCTTCAATCACAAGATCTCGTGCTTCCAGCTCCCCTTCTAGAACACTCAGAAGCATCCTCAGTTCTGCTTTGCTGAGGCTGTCCACATCAAACTCTCTTTTCTGCAAAATGAAAGCACAGTGGTAAGTGTCAGAAACACAGAAATAAAATGCTGCTATTGTGTGCCCTCAAGTTGTTCCTGAATTATGATAATCCTAAGGCGAACGTATCATGGAGTTTTCTTGGCAAGATTCATTCAGAGGAGTTTTTGCCATTGCCTTTCTCAAAGCCTGAGCAAGTGTGACTTGTCCAAGGTCACCCAGTGGAGATCTATGGCCAAGTGGAAATTCAAACCCTGGCCCTCCAGAGTCATAGTCAATGCCAAAACCAACACATTATTCTGAATCCTACAGAAATGAATTTATTTAGTCAATTACAGCAACAACAAAAACCCCAATACAGTGGTTCCTAACCTTTTTTGACAAGGGAATACTTGACCAGAGACCACTTGACCAGACACCCCTGTCCAATATTAGTACCAAAAGAATAAGAATCAGTTTTTGGTCAACTTTAGATTCAGTTTGGTTATTTGAGGTGCTGATTCAGAAAATTGCATTGGATAGACCACATCAGCTCAAGTTACAGAACATATGTCATCCAGTAGTCAGCATTATAAGAGGGTTTCGTGAGAGTCATTCTTGTTGCCGCGTGGTTTCAGGGCAACTGTGTAGTAATGGTGAGGTCACAGACCATATTTTCGTTCTTGCAGACCACTGGTTGTCCATGGACCACAGGTTGGGAACCACTGCCATAAAGGGACACACTATTAACAAGCTTAATTTATGTACTTGTTTAAAAGGGGAGCCTTGATATTGCCTGTCAGAGCAGAGCAATATGTTTGCTCTGCATCTACCAAAAAATGGAGAGTTGGAAAGTCCAAATCTAGCAACTCAAAATTTAGTAACTCACCAGAATCATTCACTGTCAGAAGCCATGGATGTGTTTTTTAGCACCACAGTGGCAAATATTTCATTTATTGTGGTGAGCATATTTGTCACATCTGCTTTCTGGAGAACATATTTGTAGCACCTGCTTTAACCCAAAGTGAAATGCGAGACAGCAATTCACATCAGACCAAACTTCAGAGTACTGTATTCTAAAAGTGGTAAAAAGAAAATCCTATCCTTGCCCTATCTGTGTCCTTGTATGAACTATAAAACCCATATGTTCAATTTTTCTAAGCTTCCAGGGAAATTGCAGCAAAGTGAGCTATCTCCGCAGTAGAAAACATGACAGTACTTTTAAAGATAACTTGTTAACATTCCTGTTACAGTGGGGAAATGTGATCTGTTATCATTAATTTTTCAAATTCTTTGAAAAATAATGTATTATAATTGCTTAGTACCATTTTCATAGTTTGTCAGTTTTAAATTGGGGAGACCAATTAAAATATTTTGAATGGCCCCAAATCCCACAAAGGTTCACCTATAATGTTTAAAAAGTAACGTATAATGTTATATGTTATTTAAAATGTAAACATTGCTATCATGCATAACATTACACATCACTAAAAGGGGGCAGCGGGTAACTTTTACTTTTAATGCATTGCTTTTGAATCCCAGCGTTTTCAAACAGCCACCAGACAGACATATCACAGCAAAGAACAGCGGGAAGGAAAACTGCAATGATGATGAACATATCATAGCAAAAAAAGGATAAAGATAAGGCAATTTCACAGTTAAGGAGTGGAATGAATCTTAAGACCCCCAGCTTGAAAATAATGTATTTTCAAATCTTCCAGATACATATATTTTTCTGAAAAGGGCATAATATTGTAAACCACTAAAATATACCCAAGCCTGATGTATATATAAGATAAAGGTAAAGGTTTTCCCTGACATTAAGTCTAGTTGTGTCCAACTCTGGGGGGTGGCGCTCATCTCCATTTCTAAGCCAAAGAGCCAGTGTTGTCCATAGACACCTCCAAGGTCATGTGGCCAGCATGACTGCATGAAGCACCATTACCTTCCTGAAGAAATATACCTATTGATCTACTCACATTTGCATGTTTTTGAACTGCTAGGTTGGTAGAAGCTGGCCCTAACAGTGGGAGCTCACCCTGCTCCCCAGATTCAAACCACCAACCTTTCGGTTGGCAAGTTCAGCAGCACAGTGATTTAACCCATTGTGCCACCAGTGGGTTAAATAAAAACTCAGAACAAATACATCAGGATATGATAAAAATGCTGAATTCAAAATTTTCTGACTGAATAAATAAATAAAATAATAAAATAATAAATAAACTCAGGGCAGCTCACAACACAAAAACAATACACAGTATCTCAAACAAAAGACTGTAAACAAAAAACAAAACACAATAAATTAAGGATAAAACAATAAACGTAGTTAAACGTAGTTAAAACAGCCCATGGCCATTAGACCAATCAGTATAACTATCAAACAGTTTTAAAAACATTTACATATCATTTATTTTTTAAGCAATATAGCAATCGACAATAGAATTTGTTATACAGCAGACAATATTATTTCAGAAATGTTAACTCCTTAATGAGTTTTTGTCAAGATGCTTTTGTTTGGTAGGCACTTTTTAAAAAAATCTGAGAGTGGGATGTTACTAATACCATTACTTGTTATTCCTGAAAAGTAAGTAGTATATTACTCTTGGGAAGGAAAAAACAATGGATTGATACAGCAGTGCTGTTTGAGTAATAGTTCCAAGCTTCAGAATATATGTACTAGATACATAATTCAAATAAATTATTGAGGGACTTTAAGGTATTAAAATATTAATAATACTGAATCATCCATTTTGACTTTAATCATGTTGATAGAATAGAGATATCCAGACAACAAAATAAAATATCTTTAGCCAATTAATAGCAGACCTAGATGCCAAAACATATGGGTTTTATATTTCATACAGACAGGGCTAGATAAGTTAGCTTGTCTACACTATGGAGATGGTGGTTTATCTATTAATAGCTCCACACTTTTCTTCTGTCAAAGAACTCGAGATATCTTATAGAGAGGTTCCTAGATAGTCCTTCTTCCAGGCATTTTACTAGATTCATTTAGGACCTCATCACAATGAGGTCACATATCCAGGCAATAGTGAGGGGATTCACCACAGATTGTGGAGAATCTGGCATGGGGCATGGGCAACTCATTGTCCTGTGCCCCACATATCCCCATATCTCATCCCATGGGAGGAAGCGTCACCACCAACTCCCCCCCCCCCCCCCCCCCCCCCCCCCCCCGTTGTTGTCTATGCAACACGGGAAGCCTACCATGTTGCCAGCATTGCCTCCTGTGATACTTGGACTTCACTTCAGGCACAGAGCCCCGTCAGAAGTAGATCAACATCATGTGATGGGATCCAGCGGGCTCTGTGTCTTAAGGTCCAAGTGTCATAGGACGGCCAATTTTGCCCGTCTGATGACGTCCTTAGTTTTCAAAAGATAGTTGTTCAATCTACACATAGATAAACAGTTTCACATAAGAAATTGGAAGGCTTTTTCATTCTGCAATTCACAGTAATTACTATTGGTATAGTTTCCTATCCTAGGTAAAACTATAAATGAATATGCTGTACTATATTTAGAAAGGCAATGTGATGCAATGCATGAGAAAACTAGGAAAACAGTTCAACAGTGTAATCCTATACATGTTTACTCAGAACAAGTTCTATTTCTCAGAAGAAAGGCCACCAGGTTCAGCGAAGCTCACTGCCAAGTAAGAGAATTTAATACTCCAGTCTTTGTTCTTTAATAGATTAACATTTATCCTATTGAAGTATAGTTCCAGCATAACAAGCCATCTTGTCATGCTCTGGCCATTAGAAGAAAAATTGGATACTCACAAACAAAACATATTTTTCTCTCTCTTGTCCATTACAGTGCTTATGAATAAATTCCCAATAAAGTCTTGTGAATGATGGGTTGAGGTAAAGTATTTCCAGTGCAGCACTATGTCTAGAACAGCCGTTCCAGTATATTGGATTTTATGACTATGGCAAAAGAAAATTTTGCTCAAGGGTGACATTTGGGACGCAGAATTTAAACATTGGGGATTTCATTTAAAGAACCCATTTGGTCGTTATGCATAAGTAGACAATTTTAAACATGAAGATTAAATTTATTATTTGACATTTTGGCATGTTTTAATGAAACTCTGCCTACCTGGCAGGGAATTCCACCATGCTCAGCAGTAGGGATGCTGTAAGTTTGTAATGGTGGGGCAATAACCAGACTGGCCTGTTATGATCACCTATGAAACTTATCAAGAACACAAATGCTACACATCAGGGCTGGAACACATATGGACTTCCAGATGTTTTTAGTAGCCAGTGATGGATGTCGACAGGATCCTTAGTATAGCAACATCTGGCAACCCCAATGTCTTGCCTATTCGTACTCAGAAATAAAGGCAGAAACATATGTGTTTATAGAATTGTAATTTTAGGGGTCAAAATTAAGGATAGAGACCATCCTGTTAGACTGTAACTCCCAGCAGCCCTAGCCAACAGAGTCAATTGAGAGTAAGCATGGAAGCTGCAATCAAAAAACATCTGGAGGGTTATCCAACTGTAACTACAACCGAAGTAGACCCCCCAAAATCAGATGAAATTTGATAAGTCAATACTCATGGAGATAGGGAGGCATACAAATAAATAAATAAATAAATAATAATAATAATAATAATAATAATTATTATTATTATTATTATTATTATTTTTGAACCATAGCAGTTAAAGTGTGTGTCAATCTGCATTAATTCTACAGCGAACAGTTGGAGTTACACTGTACTCTTCTTCTTATATCCATTCAAATGTATCTCTCAGGTCACAAATCAGGTAGGGTTTGAGGTTCCCCTGCTGAAAGCACTATAAAAACTACAAACTGCACATCCCCATAAAGATTAAAAAAACCAACATTTCTGGAACTGGTTAAATTTTTGGTTTTTTGAATAAGCAAACACGTGAAGAGGCTTCATACTCTTGCACAGAAAAGTCAATTTTTAAAAAAATATCCAGTTCAAAGCACAAGTTGTCAGTCTGGAGAACAGCATGTTCAAGAGCAGGCCTCTTCAGGAAAACAAAAGG